CCAGGCGTGGGGGTGGGGGGCGGGACCGGGACGCGCCTAACCTGCTCTGCTCTCCCGCCACCGCCGCTGCTGTGCGCACTCACCCAGCAGCCAAAGGGTGTGGGCACCGCGTGTTCTGCCCCAGCTCTTCCGGCCTCTGTTCACTCCCCGCTAGGCACCTTCCACGGCCCAGAGGGTGCCTCCGGTTTGGGGGGAAGGGGGTGGATGGAGCAGGAATGAGGAGGCAAAGAAATTAGCATGTCAACTGCTCAGGGGATACAAGTTGCTGCCTGTGCCTTGTTTCTGTTGCCTCGAATACCTGACCGTGCTGCTTTCCTGGTTACCACTGCAGCGAAATTCAGAGGCATGAACAGAAGGTTTCCAAGTTCATTGGTTGTAGGGGCTTTTTAAAACAATGTGATGTTGGTCCCTTTATATGATGGCCACATTTCCCATTTTAAAAAATAACAAAATATAAATAACAGAACAGCTGTGTTTTACCGAAACAGATCCCGTGTGCGTGCGTTCTTTCAACCCTCTGTTATTATATTAATTGGGTCTGTTTTAAAGTGTATTGTAGGTCTTAAGAAAACGGGTTAAGGATGTAGGACTAGGAACCCATAAGTTTTAATTTGGCTTTGGCCATAGGTCTAAAATGTCAATTTCATGGAAATTATTAACTATGGTTATGTAGAAAATGGATCTTGTTTCTTCCATGTTGGCAATATTCTTCTATTTGGTGAAGGGCAGATTTTTTAAAAGCCAAGAAACAATAAAATTCTCATTTTCTGGTGATAGAATATCTGATCTACAAGTTTTTTCTGCAGTGTTTTTCTTTTTGAGGCAAACTTCCTTTCTGTTTCCTCATTTGTTTTTGTTTTTTAAGAATTTCTCCCTAAGTATAAATAAAGTTATAGATGCCATGATTTTTGAGTCTTTGTTTTCTTAAAAAGATAGGAAAATTAACTATAACTGATTATCACAATTAACCCAAGGCTCATTATACTAAATTTCACATTGATTAACCCTGTTTTCAACTCTGCTTTTAGGAATTTAACCTAACACTTGAGAACCAAGAGTTTTTTTGTTTCATCCCTATAAGAATGAAATGTATACTTTTTAATTAACATTTTGAACCAAAATTAAAGTCATTAAATTGGCTAATGGAAATATATTCATAGTGTATTTGTTGCTAAGTAAATGGGGACAATGTGGATGATAAGCAGCATTCTGAAAAAGAGCTTCTGAAGCAAATAAAACAGTCTGTAGAAAAACTGATGATCCCTTTTCAAGGCAAGGATGACAAATACCAGTAATTACGCAAAGAATGACTGCTGCCTCTCTTCTCTCTGCTTTGGTTTTGTGGCTGGGCCTGCAATTATCTCTTTCAATCATCATAATAAAAGTAAAGTAATTCAGCATTCTGGTGACTTTACTTAGTAAATTAGCAATTTGAAAATGCTCTTATTACCGAATTAATCCAAGTAGATGCTTCCTATAAATCTGATTTTACTCTTCCATTGTGTGTGTGTGTGTGTGTGTGTGTGTGTGTGTGTGTGTGTGTGTTCCTGAGAAACATCCATGAAATAAAAACAGCCAGGGAAAACTCAAGTATAATGGCCAGATAGAGTCTTTCAGCATATGTGTATTGCAACAGAGTTGATATTAAGTGACCTTTGGGTCTTAAATTATATATCAGATATTGGTTATGCATTGCTCATTGGCTGTTTCTTTAATGAGTTCCTGTGTGTTTGCTTTGCCCTGCTCATTTCCCAGAAGTGCATTTTATTTCTTTTAGTCTGCCTTATTGAATCTACCTTCGCCTAAACTATTTTTATTGAACCGCCACCAAAGAATCAGACCCTAATCTATAGCTCACTTGACAGTCATCTTTCTGCTTCAAGTTAAGTCTCCCTTGTGGTCTTTGGTAAGAATCCAGCATAATCAAACATCCAAAATTCACCATCAGTCATGGTTCTAACTAAGAGATAAGAATCAAATTTCTCAAAACCAGGAGGGTGTGTCTCATTTGAATAAAAAGAAGAAACAAAACCAGCAAATCCATTTTGTTCAGGTCAAAACTAAGCCAACAAAATCACAATTGAGATCCTTTCTAAGCCTGAAACATGCTAAGAGATATATAAAAACTCAGACTAAATAACTTTATCTGTATTTTCTTTTACCACTACAAATCCCTTGCTCCACTGACCAAACACCATTAGATTTCACATTTTCCTTTCAGTTCCTGTGCTGTAGAGAATTTTTCACTGGTCTTTAAATAAGAAATAAGACACTTCTTTGTGTCTCCAAGGAATTCTTTGTCACCTCCTATTTGTTTTCAAAAGCTTTTTTTAAAAAAATATTTCACATTGATAAGGACAGAGGTGAACATCCCATGTAGACCTGTGGAAAGGGAGTTCCCAATGACTGGTCCAAATTCAGAACAGGTTAAAACAAAACGTGAGTTTGTTGTAACAGCTTAATTGTATCAGCATCTCCCATCCTGATCCTTGCCCCAACACAGTTTTATAATTCATTACCTTTCCCCTCTTGAGAAATTTTCTCCTGATAATTATTTTAATAATTTTAATTCATTTACTCTTTGGGCTGTTTTACAACTCACCATGAGCCTAAACACAATGCATAATCTTTTTTCTTTGTATGAAAACAGAGAATTACAGACCTGGAGATGATTTAAGGGGGAAGGGGAAATGACAGGACAGCTCTTTTGCCAAAGTTTCCTCCTCCTCTGGCTGTGTGAAAAGCATGAACTAAGTTTCTTCATTTTGATTGATTGGGATTAGTGAGCAACATAATTGATTCAAATTTGCAGAGTAACAATTACTTTAATTGGTTTCCTTGTACTAGGGAAATACGTCACCAGTTATCTCACAAGACAATGGTGATAGAGACAATACCATCCATATAATGCTCAGATTGAAATGTTCATTCTCTAAGTCTAAGCTAAATTACTTATATGGTGTATGTGGGTGTTTATGTATAATTCAAGGCTAAATATAAACCTGAATACTTGTAATAATAGACCCTTCAGTTACAAAACCCTTGGTAAGCTCTCGCTTAGGTTTTTGGGTATGTGATAAACTGATGAATACCTCAATATTTACCTTACTCACAGGAAAGGACCTCTTTCTGATCCAGATCTTCCCACAAATCTCTCAGTACCAAATATTTAACCATATCATTTGATGATAGAAAGAGAGAGAGAGAGAGAGAGAGAGAGAGAGAGAGAGAGAGGAAGAAAGAAAGAAAGAGAAAAAAAGAAAGGAAGGAAGGAAGGAAGGAAGGAAGGAAGGAAGGAAGGAAGGAAGGAAGAGAAAGAAAGAAAGAAGAAAGAAGAAAGAAAGAAAGAAAGAAAGAAAGAAAGAAAGAAAGAAAGAGAAAAGGAAGAAGAAAAGAAGAGACTGAAGCCTGTGTGATAGGGTGAATCTAGGTATGACTGGTTTGCTCAACTAATAAGCACATCAGGTTAGTTAGGTCATGGTTTCCTCCCTCATGGACCATTTTGTTTTGATATGTTTCCTAGCTGCCAATCAAAGGCTTATTCCTAAACCTAGGCAAACATTGTTGATCACCAGATGTTGTAGGTGGAATTGTGTTCTCCAAAAAGATATGTTGAAGTCCTAACCCATGGTACCTGTGAATGTGACCTTATTTGGAATTGAAGCCTTTCCTGATGTTATTAAGATGAAGTCATACTGGGGTAGGGTGGGCTCTTTATCTAATATGATTGGTGTTTTTGCTGGAAGAGAAGAAGAGACACAGACACAGAGGGAAATTGGCCATGTGAAGAGGGAGGCAGAGATTAGAGTTATGCTGCCACAAGCTAAGGGACACCTGGGGCTGCCAGAAACTGGAAGAGACTAGAAAGCATCCTCTCCAACAGCCCTACCAACACTTTGGTTTTGGACTTCTAGCTTCAAGAATTGTGAAACAATAAATCTCTGTTGTTTTCTGTCATCTAATTTGTGGTACTTTGTTACAGCAGCCTTAAGAAACAAATACACCAGGGAATCATCAACTCCACCCAGCACAGAGTGAACACTCAAGTGCAGAATGTTTAAGAATGATAGGAAGAGCCATCTCTGTACATGAAGGACAACAGCAGGGTAGAATCATCCAAGAACTGGAAAGAATCTTGAGAATTTACCTAATGTAATGGCTCCTCCAAGATGGGATTTAGCTACAAGTGGGCATCATAGAGTCACAGAATCTTAACATGCTGAAAGACCGTTGGAGATTTTTCTCTTTCTTGAGATTATGTGATACTTACGTGGTGCAGGACTTTAAAAGGTGCAGGATGGGGTCCTCCTCCATCCAAAATGTCCTACTAATTCAATTTCACCTCCAGTTATTGGGTTAAAATAGT